TCACAACATCAAATTTAGATTTCAATTTGATCTCAGACTTTGCTCGGGTTACCTTTCAGCTTCGTTGGAACGGGTAGTCGCGGTTCATTGTAGCCTTTCTTTTTCTGCAGAATGCGACCACGCTCTCGCAGGAAATCAACCATATCAGCATGCATAGATAGCTCATCTACTGGGACCACTGGGGGCTGCGATTCCCACAGCTCCCTAGTTTCCTTATCAAACCGTTTGGAAATTACATTGACCAGGATCATTTCCGAAAGTCCTCCTACAGGTAGCTATTGATTCTTCAAAGCGTCAACATGCTATCGAGGTATCAGGTATCGAGTAAGTTCCGCAATTCATTGCCGTTCTCACTCGTCATCTTGGGGAGGTTGAGTAGAGCATCTATGTGAGTGTCAACTATGAGTCGCTCGTCTTCATAGGTGTCCTCTAGCATCTTCCATGCCGAATCGTAATCATTGTTGTTGATTACGTCTTGGTCAATCTTACCAGCAGCGTTTCCAAGAAGGCATTTCTTCAAGTAGTAATGTTTTATCGCCGGGCTCTCATCAGGGTAACGGTTCGTTATGGTATTGAACATATACTTAAAAGAGTACCAATTCTGCTGCGGCACAAAAACGGGCACCAAAGCATTCAATTTTCTTCGCCGTCTGTCCTCTTCTGCTGCATTCCACTTTTCTATTTTCGTTTGAACTTGCACAAACAGCTCGTTGTGCAGTTCTTCGTTTCGGAAGTAGTCTCCTGAATTCGTCACGCTGATAATATTATGAGGTTCCACAAACATTTACGGATTCTTATACTAAAAAAGAACGTTGAGCAAGACTTCGTTCAAGGATATTTTGGAGAACCCGAAATACTTTGTCATAACAACTATACACTGCCGTTATACGCATAAGTGTCCCACGGTACATAAGAGTTGCATAGAACATGGGACAGTTATGCGTATAACGGCAGTACACTGCAGTTCATGAGTTGTATTTTGGATACACAGAGGGGTCAGCCTCGTCGTAGTGGTTAACATCAACACATATCACGCTATAGTCACGAGTTCACATCTCATCCCCGGACATGTCACGAATGATTCAACAGTTGAAACTCTTGGACCCCGGAAGATGCTGCACCGTCTCAGAAGGGAACGTGTCTTAGTCCCTGGCTGTTGGTCCCAGCCGGTCGGCAACCAATGGTGGGGGAATTTAAGGTCTCTTTTTCTCCCGGGTCTCAGGGTGTTGGTGAGGATTTGAGAGTGTTTTCGGATGCGGAAAGCCCTAAAGCAAAGCAAAGCCACTAAAAAGGCAAATTAGAGATTTACTGAACTTTATTCCGGTCCTTTTATGAATGGTGGAGGCAGGGCTTTGACGGGATGCTCTCCAGATACACTGGTCGAGATGTCAGGATAAAGGTTGGTGATCGCTGTAAGTAGCCGACAGGCTGGTAAACCGGGGCACGCACTCGAGAACGCAATTGGGCCACTGGAAGTAGCCACTGATGGTGAAAAGTTGATGTTCATCGGACAGCGATCGCTTTCCAGAGGGCTAATATATAGGACCCCTTCCTTGTAGACACGTGTCCGATCGACAAATAGGCCACTCGATCTACGAGTAACTTCGGATGGTACTAAAGTGGAGGCTTAGCACTATCGGGGGTTACTTCTTCACGTGGTTGAACGATGATAGGCCACCCGGTCAACCTGACCGGTGACGAAAGTCCGGTGTGATTCCGACGACTGACTGGGTCCCCGTCACTGTTGAAATTCCTCGGAAGGGATGAATACCGTCTGGTTGGTGGGTAACGACCAGAGATGCCAGATCTACAGACATGTCTGGGAATTTACAGACTTTTATTTTTTTCAGAGACATTTTTTTCGTTACAGACATTTACAGACTTCTTAGTTTTTTCACAGATGTAAATATCTGTAATGACTTTTGTAATCAAGGGAAAATTTTAAAATTTATTTGGTTACACTGTTTTACACCTTTAATCAAATTACACGAGCGATGCATTTTGCAACACACATTAGAAATCCGCGATCGGGAAAAAATCAATAGAAATCCATGGGTATCTGAAACACATCTTCTGGAACTTGTTCCACTCAAATTGGTCAAGCCATCTCTGCGAAAATTGAGTGAGCTACACTCATACAAACTTACATACATACATATATACACACATACAGAAACATTTTCTGATCCCGTTGAGATGAGTCTATTGGTATATGCCATCCGTCTCTCCGGGTCTTCGAACGAAATTGTGTTTTTCAAGTGATATCATAGCCTTTCGGCACACCTTGGTGTACAAGAAAGGCAAAAAGGTTGGTAACAGCAAATTGTGTTATATTTAACCAAGTTTTTCTCCCCCAGGTGTGTAATTATTTTGCAAAATGTAATGAATGTTGCTTGATATATCTTATTTTAAAACTGTATTTGTAAAATCGTTACAACAGTGTTAGTATTAAGCGCCAATTAATCATACTTGGCTTCGTTGTACAGTACTCTACATTTCTCGATGATCTTTATTTCGATATTCCTTCTTATCTGAATCGTTGCAGCAACTCTGATCTTGATTCATCAACACTTTTTGAGCACGATGTGTTAAGAATCGTATTAATTGTCTATTTCTATTATATTTAGGTGGTGGAAAGTAGAATCTTTCACTAAGATGTGCTCGTTCCCTCGCTGCTGGCATGCAACAGGACCAGTACTAAGTAACTAATGTATTTCCACACTACATGGCATATGAGATCGACGCAAATTAAAGTTTAAATTACTAAAATTGGGAATCGCACCACAAAATAACATGAACACTAATATGTCAAATGAAATTTAAGTGATTTATCATAAAGAACTCATGTAAATGCATGAATGTTATGTGAAAGTCAGATAGATAAAATTGGTTTTGTAATGGAAAAATGTAGTGTGCATTCCCAATGGCAACTACATGAAACCTTTTTTCCGTGTAATAATTTATAATGTACACTGAAAAAAGTTTTCACTTACTTTTATTAGGAACGCACATCTTATTTTTCCAATATAAAAAATAATGATTTTAATCTGAATATCACACAACATAAGAAATTCTATGTGTGTAATCATATAGATTTCATTGGACACATAACGTTCATGTGATTTAATGGTACAATTTCCTATTATAGGATCACATGAAAGTTATGTGAAATTCACATGGATATTTTCCACTGGTTTTATGATTTATTTTATGAGTGTACATCGAGATGATGCTCATATTAGAAAACAAATTCCTGTTAAATCTCATAAAATTTTACTAAGTCTATGAGTTAACTACGTTTTCAAGAATATGAGCAGTGTTGGCAAAATCATCAATCAAATAATATTTTTCCGCTCTCAATATCACGCGTGTGGATCAAAATAGCTCGAGCTCGAAGGAGCCACTCCACCAATGATATATCCGAGGTTAATCTAGCTCCACGCGGCGAAGAATTATCTTCGGTCTTGGAGGGGTGCACGCCGTCAGCCCAGGAACTCGGGTCAAATTGCTCGACCAGAGGTTTACTTTTTTGAGGTGTGAGCCGGTATCGGAGCTAGATAGGTGATCATGTAACTTTTGATCTTCCGAATTTTGAAAAACTGGGTACTATCACGACTCGATCGTATGATCCTTGCTTTGCCACTCAGATTCCCTATTGTCCTCGTAGCACAGTTTCTCTTCCGCTGTCTCATTGCCACCAACATTACGCAGTGGTCCTTTTGCACCCACTCATCATTCTTGCGTTCAAATTAACCGTTAACTAACTGAACAAATTTAATTTCCCTACCTTTCCACATCGGGTAAACAAAAATACAACTGCTACCATTCGGTAACAGAGTTTTAAAGTGACCAAAAAATGCACAGAAACTGTCTCGGGAACGCCTAGTTTGTAGAGCATCAAGATCTGAACTCAAGGATGATTTGAAAAATCAAAGATATTTTGGTAATACAAATGTAAATCTTGAATAACATGATGAGGTCCCACCAAGCTATACGGATTCGTATTATAAATTATGACATCATGAAAGACTTGGTTAAGCCTGTAGAACTTCGAGATCAAAGAGACATCTTCAACGGATGAGTCTGGTAAAGGAGATGATCTACCCGATTCGTACCTTCGTCAAAATTGTCCTTGCTCGCTTTGTACTTTCTATGTAAAATTTTCAAACTACCGTACTATAACGGAACTATCAACTCTATACTTTCATCTCCTCATCTATGGTATAACATGTCCACTTTAAGTTTGATATTTGACGTTAAGCATCTTCAACAATGATGGTATAGTTTCTTGATGCGATCCAACTTGATTGAATTTTTGATGCAGTCCTCTCGTCATTTTTTGAGATCCAGATCGTTCTCCACGTCTTAGTTGAATATTTCAATGCGGTTGATAGGTCGATAATCCTGATCACGGCACAATATGACTCGTCCAATGGTGAGGCCCCTACGTTATATTGTTGTGAGATCAACACCCTGTCTTCCCAAAATATCAAATACCACAAAGGCTTGAAATTCGGACACTTAGTGAACATATCTGAACACTTTTAAAAGTTGATGATCTATACCTTCTTTATTCAAAATAGCACGTAAATTTAATCATGGTCTCTTAGTATCGTTCAGAATCATCACACATATTTAATATGTTGCAAATTAGACATAATTTTGAACATAAAATTAAACTAAAAAACCGTCTGATACGAACCAGTGAACCGAATACGGTACCTACAAAATGAATAAATGTCTCTTAATCTAGCATCCCTAATCCCAATTCATACTTAACGATCATTTAACAAATCAATCCAACGTGTGAGTTTTCCATGATCAGTGTTATTCAAATGAAAATGATTTGAAACATAAAGAACATTAACTTACTCGAATGTTATTTGTAAAAGGTTTATCACAGACTGAGTTAACGTTCAGCATAATATAATTTAAAACATAGCACAAATGAACACTATCACAGCCTTGTTGAAACACGTAAATAAGTGGCCACAATCACCTCAATACATCTCCTCGTTTCTACTATTTTCCTGTGCTCTATGCTTCACATAGCGCTGAACACCATTGAGAATCCATACCTCCAAACCGCAGATTGCTGTAGAATGAGTCAATATTTCCCAGAATTAATTTCCATTCCTGGAAAACCTTATGAATACAGCTCTCACCTGCCATGGTCATGAGTAGTATGGTTGCGATATTTTCGGCCCTCGCCACATTTGGTCTAGTATCTCCGTTGATTTGGCTGATCCTCAGTGCAACACTTTCGTACGTCCACCGTACCGTCAGGATCAAGCTCCGGGTAAGCATAAATACCCGGCAGATATGAATGTAACCCGGAATGGTCTCATCGATTCCTATTTTCACGAAAATGGCAAAAGTTATCGACATCGCACAGATCATCATATTGATTGCCATGGATAGAAGGTTTGTCGTTCCTGAAAGAAACACAATCATTGCAATTTTTTTTCAAGAACTACATGAAACAACTTACCATTTTCACAAAAATAGTCCACACAAATGCTTTCATTCTTGACAAGATTTTTGAAAAAGTATACAGCACCAACCGTCGATGCGAGCAACCACACCACAGCGTATGCGAATCCGATTCTACGGAATGAATTTACATCCATTCCCAAAGCGCGCGCGGCCCCGAGCAGTGGTGCTGGATACAAGTGAGTGAACGGCGTGATATCCATGAGATGAATGAAGGCCGGTGCGATGGTGAAGATCTCTTTTCTGCTACTCGAGCGTGAATGTGGGATTGTTAGACTCAGGCGGGAAGCCCTATCAACTGTGAGGGTTGAAGCAAAGTTGCACCCTTGGGTGTTGGGTTTTCATCTCGAAGGTGGAAACACACAGTTGATGGTTTTATTCGATTTGAAAGAAATTTTGATTGAGTTCTTACTTCCCTTTAACGCTGCTTCGATACATTTGAAGTCCATACATTGTAACTAGGGGCTGCTCATAAACCACGTAGAGACTTGGGAACGCGGGATGACGTGGATTTGTGATTGTCTACGGTCCATTAAAATTTAAAAAAAAAAAAAGAATGAGGGTTGCCTACGTCTCCGAATGAGAAATATATATTTCATATACTGAATAAAGGTAGAATCAGATCAGTTTTGACAGTGTTAGTAAAATATCAAATATTTAGATTGATGCCTGTGTTCCTGTGCCTTACCTAACTGGGAATGTGGGGAAATAGGAATTGGGCCTGGGCTTCTCAAATGGCTCGAACCTTATCTAACTGATCGTCAACTAATAGTTAGATTCAAAGGCAAGAAATCAAATCTTATTCAACTCACTTCAGGATTACCCCAAAGGTCTCATTTAGGCCCTCTGTTGTTTAAATTATTTTTCAAATTTGGATAGGAGCTTTTTTCGAGACAATGAACATTTTGTAAACCATCATAAAAACGAAAACCTTAATTGGGTAGTGTGCATGGGTAGATGTGCCGGAGTCCGGGAAAAGTCGCGGAATATCTTCGAAATTACGATGAATTTTAGGATTGAAAATAGATGATTAATTTATTTATATTTACTGCCAAATCCAAAATATCCGCAATTGTTGTAGTTCCATGTATAAATGCAGGGTTGGTAGCAATCACCAGCGATCACAATCACTGTCGTCTTTTCCTTGACAAAGACAACAGTGACCATTTTTATTTACTACAAATTTTTCACTCATGTTTACAAATTTACTATTTTTTTTTCTTTTACTCACACTTGATGTGGTCGGTCGTTGATGATCTTCAGGGTTGGCGTGTAGCTTTTGTGATATATCGGCCACCGGCCGGGGAAAGCTGGATTCTGATGCAACTATGATGATGATGATGATGATGATGATGATGATGATGATGATGATGATGATGATGATAATGATGATGATGATAATGATGCTGATGATAATGATGCTGATGATGATGATGATGATGATGATGATAATGCTGGCTCTCTTCAGGTCGCTTGTAGTACGACTAGCTGTCTTCTTGTTGTTAAACTGCTCACTTAGTTTAATTCTTTGTGGCGTGGTGTAGTGTGAATTTGCTCATATGCTGCCGGAACAACCTTTCTTTGGCAGTACCGCGCCACAAGATCACTGGAAATGCCTTTGTGACACAGTATTCTCCCTTAGGAAATGGTTCCTTGAGCCACTTTTTGTAGGCCTTTCCTATCTTCAACTTTTCCACTTGAATGTCGATTTCTTTGTTCTTGATTATCTCTTTGTCAGATTGTCACTTTTGGCGCAACGGCCCACTTGGCTTTAACAAGCCCAAATGTTCGAAACTATCTGACCTTTGTCAGATTTTGCGTTTCGGCGCAACGGCCCACTTAAACCGCCAACTTGCAGTTCTTTGCAGTCAGATAACGACTGACTGCTATTTGGCTTAACGCCACACTATTTGGCACAAAGGCCCATTGGAACCGCCAACTTGCGGTTCTTTACAGTCAGATTTCGACTGACTGGAAGTTCACGGGCTCAAAACGTCGGAAAACGTCCTCGAAGATTCCTCTCTGGAGCCACCTTCTCCGGTTAGGGAGAGTCTTTCGCTTACTAGGTCAGACACTGTTTCTCGATTCTAAGAGCTACTTTTTTCTCCGGTTAACGAGAGAAGTTTTCACTTCCAAGTCAAGAGTTCTTCTAGGAGCTACTTTTTTCTCCGGTTAAGGAGAAAAGTTTTCTTTTCTAGGCCGAAAGTTCTTTCGGATTCAAAAAGAGAAGAATCTGGAGTAACCTACGAAACTTAATTTTATTCAACAAAATTGTAAAAAGTGATCTTACGGCTACGTGTTGCATTAGCAACTTATAATTATGTAAAACTTTTACATGATTTGTCCAGGGTTTAACATATCCCTTTCAATACCGAACTTTAACCTAATTTGCCTATTCTAATTAGCTAAGATTCCGATCGCCCTTGAAGGGGTAAATTTCTGTTGTTTAGACCTATATACTATGCCCTCTCAGATCTGGGATTTCTCAGATATCTTGTAAGTTTATTTATTTTTGTAACTCAGATCTGATATGGCTCTACAAATTAGAAAGTGACATTTGTAACGTTTAAACATTATAATTATATCCTTCGTTAAGGATAAACAGAGAGGGAAAGCTAAACTAAACTAGATGCGCAAGCATGCCATGCATGGGCGTGTTTATTCCACTTGAACGCAGAAATGTTCCTAAGTAAATACTGCAGTTAGATTATGTAAAACGAGCTCTCGCTCCTTTTGCCCTACTTTTCATTTCATATTCTTGGCCTTGGTATCAACGTCAGCTAGGGCTATGCAAACGAGATGCAACTATGTGGTTATCTTATGGTTTTGGTTTTAAATTAATTGGCTCGCGGTAACACATGTTGATGAAATAAGTGACCAAATAGTGGCTTATAGTTGTAAAAATAGTGACTAAAAAGTGACCTAAGAGTAGAAAAGTAGTCGTTATGATGGCACACCAAATAAATGTTTGTTGTTTTAGACTTATTCAATAAGTATCTCATAAACACTGATGTATGTAAGATATGAACCTTTAAAGCGAAAGATTCAATAGAAAGTTTATGGCCAAACCTACGGTATTAGTCTGGATGCCTACTAACTGCAAAAACTTGGAAAACAGCGAATCCTAAGGAAATTTTTTTTTTCTCAAGATACCTGGAAGTCTCAGAGAATTTAATAATTTTCTTACTAAGGATATTTATAAGAAATGAATAAATTTTAAAATATCAGCATTTATTTTTTTTATTTTCATTAACACTTTGCACTTTACAGATGCACAGTGGATAAATCTTCAGTATGGGGGAGAGGTAGCTCATCGATTCTTCCGGTTCGCCTCCTAGCATCGTGCTATAAGGTACCAGGCGATAACCAGGATAGTTGATCGATAGCTCGATGACGTCATTTCGTTGGCGTCTGCAATGGGAAATTATCATAGCAGGCGTTGACGATGGGACGTTGTCGAGTTGTGGAATAGCAACTATCGTGGTAACTCACCGATTACCTGTCGATCTGCCAAATTTTGAAAGACGTCTGCATTGAATTGTCTCATATAATAATATTCCGCCCGCTATATCACAAGAAATTGCGAGTAGCTGAGTGGAATTGAGATAAGTTAAGCATTGGGTACAGGACCAAGTCTCCCCTGGGTGGTGCCAGAAGATGAGCGCAATAGAATCATCAAGTTGCCATAAGGCACGGAATGAGACTATTGCATGGCTGGGTAGTCAAAGTCTTCCATGCGTTAGTCATTTCAGGTGGATTAGAACAGGTTTAGGTTTAGGGTGGGCGTTGGCCAGATTTGGATTTTTCAGATATAATCCTAAATAGGACCTAGATTATTTAATACACTAGTAACCTCAACTTCTGTCACAATGTTTCATTGTGACTAATCAACACTCAATGGGTAAAATATCAAATTTGCGGTAAATTTAAAAAAAGGGAACTTGGAGTTTAGAGCGCACTGCCCACTGAACGATTCTGAAGCCTGACCAAGTGAGTGTCAAGTTTCATTTTGCATTTGCATATAATTGTAAGTTTAGGTTTGCTTTTGTAATTGTAAGATAGATAGTTCGCCTCAATTGAAACATTGATTTGTATAAACTTGACGAATCATACCTCTAAAATAGTAGTAGTTACAGTGCCGCATTATCTAACAACCACTGCCTGCAACTAATGTTGGAGGGGTCGGCAGGGCTGATTACGGATCAAAACTAACATAACTCTAACACTGAAATGATCCCGAAACTAACGCTCATTCATTGCACTTTGAGTCATAAAGTAGCTTTATTTATTTTCCTACTAATCTATCTACACACTTAGTTTTTTCTACCTAACTCGGCTGTGCGGGTCTCGGCGGGGAGGGTTCCGCTGAGATCTCGGCGGGAGTGACATTTGATTGCCGAGTCTCGGATAATGCCTTTTCTAATAATCTGCCTACGTTTCTTTTCTTTGTTATCTACTTTATCCCCTGTTTTGGCTGAAAGTTACTCTAATAAAGAAAAAAAAATCCCCTTTTTATTTTTCTGCTCTTCTTTTCTTTTGTTTTGTTTGTTTACATATAACTAATACTAATATCTCCTCGTTTTCTCTCTAATTTGTCTACTATGTCCCACCATCACGATTAGGTACACGGTACATGGTACACGCTCATATACACTCCCAAAATAGTATGCCGCAAGTAAGAATATCACAGAGGCAACTAAAGATCCAGAAAAAAAAACCGATAACGCTGAAGATAATGAGATGTGGTGATTTATATGACGTACCCCTGCGTGACGAATTTTTGCAGTAAATGGCATATTTGAGAAAAAATACACCAGTTAGTTATTCTAGCAATGAATTTTGTGCGATTTATTTTCTTTCGCAACATATGGAAGTTGTAAGTAAATTTATTCAAAAAAATTGCCTTCCCTTTCGACGACTGTAGTTAGACGCTTCCGGAAACTGCAGTATGCACGTTTTAAAATGTTTCGATCCATAGATGTCATCACTGCCTTGATTTTAGCTTTTAGCGACTTAAGTGTGGTGTGAGGGGTTCTATTGGTATCCCGTTGGACGACGCCCTATACAAAATAATCCAACGGATTGATATCGGGACTGCTTGGGGGCCAAATTTCTTCCTCCCAAATTTACGAAATATTTTCCGTAAGCCATTTCTGTGCTTTATTAGCAGTATGAGCAGGTGCTCCGTCTTATCACTTTCCCAAGCCTTTTTTAATATTATACACTGTTCTTTCAGACACATTTACCGACCGAATTATTTCTTTCATGCATACTCCGGCGCGCAACAAAGCGACAACGGCTGACAGGTTGCTCTCTTGTTTCGACATCTTTACGTTTACTCAACATTGTTTGTTTAAATCTTACACCTAACAGTATAAGCTATCCAGTGCTGCCAAATATATCTAAATAATGATGCACAAGCATGAGAAATTACTATTTGAAATTTACTGCAAAAATTCGTCACGCACCCTGTATAGTATTATTTACGTGAGGTGACCCAAATCCAAACGATCACTAATCAAAATAATAGACTTATCTTTTTTTCAGCAGGTGTAATTTCGTATAGTTCTGTTTCTCTCTTTTCAGCAAAACAACAACAAAAAAACCGCTATAACTCTTCACAGCAAAAAAATTATTTTGATATCACATCAAAGTGGATGCACTACAATCATGTCGAAAATTTCATGTAATTTTTATGACCACATAAATAAACAAATGCAGTAAAAGCAGCGTAATGTCAGTTCATGCATTGTATTAATGATAATTTTGTCCTTTTTAGCAAGTAATATTACACCATATTTTCGACATGATTGTAGTGCATCCACTTTGACGTGATATCAAAATTATTTTTTTGCTGTGTTCTCCATTCTTTTAATCTCCTACTATCCCCTATAAATGTATCGGAAACTAGTGGGACTGTCTGTGCAAACAGAAACAGGCCTGCTAGTGGAAGAAGGTCGTTATGCTATACGGTCTAGCATAGGCCTACGGCCAGGTTTCAGTAGGTACACACTCGCTTAACGGCAGATTAGTTTACAGTGGTCGACCAGGGTGTGTGCTGATAAATTACAAAATTACAATTACATCATTATTTCATACATCAGCTTGAATTACGTTGATCAATATTACATTTTTTTTGCTGTGCACTACACCACCGGAGCCAGCAAAGTTCAACAATCCATCGTTGCTTATGCCTTTGTTGTCGTTTGGAACCAGTTTTGCGAGGTAGGCGACGATTGTGCGTGTTTCTCGCGTAACTTTTGAAAAGGGCCTATTTATAGCCTGAACAATACGTAAAGAGCAAATTGAAACATTGAACGTCGCGTGAAAGTGGAACTTAATGAAGGCCTAAGTACTTTTTCGTAGTTTTTAGTTTTCGGATTTGAAAGATCGTCGGTTACAGTGGCCTGCTTACTGAGCAGAAAAACGCGGTCCCAGGTCCTTACATATCAAAGAAATTTATGCTAAAATCGCTTGTGTATCGTGTATTTTGCGAAACTCGTTGTTGTCGTTGGTTCCGGGTTTGAATGGATACAAAAATTTGAGCAACGGTATTATGTGATATGAGGGACTCGGTGGCCTTAGAGCAACCGTTTTTGCTTACTGAGCTGAACATCATGAGTCTAATCTCAGGCCCACCCACATTCAAGATTCGTCAATCGTTTTATTTGTTAATATGACTACATGGTAATAACAGCAACTCGGTGATTAAAAAGGTGCTCGTTTGCCTAGTGGCAAACGTTTTTGCTTACTGAGCAGAAGACCGTGGGTTAAGTCCCAAGCTCCTTAGCGTTATATGATCGTTACGACATCAATTCAGCTTATCGTTTACCAAAACAAACACTGCTGCGAACCCAACCCTCTTATCCAACATCCCAGTGATTCCTCGCGGAAGTGCAGAGGTGTTCTCGGCTTCCATCAAAGCGAGTGTCATGTCAACACAATCCTTCCCATTCCTTTCTTGAGCTTTGTTCGGGCACGGCCGGCGCTGGTATTGCCTAATTTAAGATCACCAGTTTTTACACATTGAGGATGATTGCTAGTCCCAAGCATCGTCTATTGGTTCTCTGTGTAATTACAGCTGATCTGGCAATAACAGAGTAGCAACCGTGGGCGGTCAATCAAGCTCAAGCTCAAGCTCATGCTCAAGCTGAAATGTAATGCAATTTTGTTTGATCGAAAAGGCATTGGAAACATATATCATTTTCAAGTGCACGTAAATTGAAAGGGCTGAACTTTCGATCATCGAGCTGTAGTAAGCGGTGCCGGTGGTGTAGTGGTAAGCGTGACTGCCTCTCACTCCAAGGGGCCTGAGTTCAATCCCAGTCGACGCCGTCGAGATTTTATGAGGTATAAAATCTATGATCACGGGAAGTTAAGCCGTTGGTCCCCGGTCCATGAGTTTTGATGGGTCGATAGGTAGGGTCAGGTGTGGGAGTTGTCTTCCTGGCATTGGTATGTTCTAGAAACGATGCTAAGAAGAGAGTTCCGTAAACTCTCGCTTACACGCCACACTAATGTAAATACCCACACCCACACGTCACATAAAAGGTCGGAATAAATGTGTTAGAAAATGTGAATATTCCTGTGTTTTCATACTTTGTATCGCGTCCCTTTGGTCACCCGGTAGTAAGCTGACTATAAGACCTACTTCGAAGAGTCTCTTGCTACTGCTGAGTTGTCGGGTTAACTGTTGGGCATCAGCTAGTTACAGTGTCAATATCCTTAAGTTTAACTTTAGTCCAAGAGTAATGTTTTTTTTTGCTATCTGAGGTCTTAATTTTTTTTATTTGAAGTTGTTTAAAGGCTTAAATTTTGAAACGTTCAGCAATGGGAAAACTGGCCTAGCCTTAACATCTTGAAAATTGTCTCTTGTGATTTAAAAAAAAATCTATGCCCGCACATTTAGATTTTTTGCCGAGATGGGCACCACCGAGCAGCTCGGCCATCTATTTTGCTGGATCTCTGTGAAAAATTTGCCGAAATTCAGTTAACAAACGGGAATTTTGCCGAGATCTCGACTAACAAACATAAATTTTGCTGAGATCTCAGTAAAAATAAATGCCGAGGCTGCTCGGTGGTGCCAATCTCGGCGGAAAGGTTGAAAATAGTGACTGATTACAAGAAAAAGTGACTTTAGTGACTTGGCCTTGAAAAAGGAGAATGGCTTGAAAAAAGTGACCAAGTCACTAAAAGTGAGTCGCTACCAGCCCGGTAAATGGTCCATGCATTAAACATAATAGATCCAGGTCGTGAAAGTGTGTGGATTACACTTCCATGATACCCACAGGCAGGCTAGTCAATGAATTTCATTCATTCATTCGTTCATTCATCTCCATCACACGTTAACGTTATTGCATTCTAACAAAAATCAACAACATCATCCCGTGTTGCAACATCGAACAAAAACATTGCAATAAACTGAACTCGTGGCAGTTCGTTCTTTACTCGTTCAGTCGTTCAGTCGTTCAGTCGTTCATAGTTCGCTTGGCGGTTCGTTTTGCTCTTCACATTTGAAAGTTTTTGATCAATTCCAGCGCGGAAAATGGACGTTAAATCATTTCGGATAATCGGTTTGGTGTATGTCGTGTTTTGCTGGATGTTTTCCGCTCTTGGAGCCGTATACTCATTCCTTCACCTAGTCGTTGGAAAACCTTTCTGGGCCAATATCTTGTCCTACGATGGTAAATCAAGCACTACAAGTGGCTACAGTCGATAAGGATTTTAATTGTTTTAATTTTGCAGACGCTATCAACACTGCGATTGTCGCCTGCTTATTCGTATTCACACTGTCCTCGTTTTTTGTCGCATTCGTGAAAGAAGGAATCGATGAGGTAAGTTACGAAATTCTTCTGCGATTAAAGGAAGATCTAATGAAATTCCTGCTTTGCTCACCAGGGAAAGGCTTCCTTTATCCGAATATACCGGGTTTTCGTGATACTTCGAAACCTCGCACTGTCCGCTTTGTGGACCTACCAGTACGCTATGCTGGAGGAAGCACGAATTCATGGAGACGCCTCGTCGAAAGTGAGGAATGGTGACTATATCACCCTCGGGCTGTTTGTTGGAGCCATAGGTGAGATAATTTTGGGATTTTTGAATTAGTGATGGAATGCATTTGCTGTAAACATACTTATTTCTTCTGGGAATCGATTGCTACTCGTATTAGTCATCACCGGTTTGGAGCTGTGGATTCTTAACGGTATTCAGTGGTTAACGGAGCAGAAACTCGTCGAAGAGGAGTGCACTGAGGCGGCGTAGAATCGTGTTTGCTAATAGGGAATTCTGTTATCTAGTTACCCAGGGTTCCTTCGACTCAGTTCGCTGTAAAAAAAAAGGATTTTCGGTATGATGAAATCACTGATTGTGATCTTCTGAAATTGAAATTGACAGGTTTTATATGAGAAACACATATTATAAAACCGCTTCTTAAAATTTAAAAGTACAAAATATCATCTTGGAATCTTTTGATTTAATAATTGAGTAAAAGTCTCCATCATCAAATTCCACGGGTGTCCCCCGAAAGTGGCGAAAGTTTTACGGTATGTAGAGTTTCGAAAAATCGTCGATTTCTCTTCAAACCTTGCTTGTAGTGGTGAGAAAAATACTTAATTTTATTCTTTTTTAGTAATAGTGACATTATACAGAAATAATGTTTCGGACAAATAGCACCATTATTGATATTTTTAATAGTGGATTTCACCATACATTCTAAAGTCGACTTTCCACAAGCCCATACGTTCATAGGCGGCTCGCCCTCTGGTGGTGAGTACTGTCAGAAGCAGCATGAAGCACCTAATTCCGAAACATATATTTTTCTAGCGGAGTGAGTGGAAGCAACCCTGTAGTTGATTATCTTTAACTTAAACGCTCACCAGACTAAGCAGCTACAACATGTTATAAGCCTATATTGATGACTCTGTAGTATGAACGTGGTATTAGATATCATATCTTGATGGACCCTACTGCGATCCCATACACTTATTTTAAAATGTACCGGTGTAAAATGTAAATGGTACCGCTGTACCATCGGGTTCCATCAATATCGTGTTGGATGTAGATTGTAATTATTTTCCAAAAGATGGTTCCAAAATTGATGAACGATGGTTTAATTCATCACATAGTAATCGTACTATTGAACGCAATAGATCGTATTTGAGTTAACATTTTTTTTTTAAATATTCATAGTAATCCTATGATAATGAGCATGCCATGCTCGGGGTAATAACTTTTTTTTTCTATAAATAATTTATTTAATAAGGTTAAAAAGTCCAAAAGAACTCTACGGAGCCGAGAAACAGTGAATAATATAGTAATAAAAATAATATTCATGAAAAACAAAAGTTCTTCTTATTTTTCCTAGAAGGTTCTGGGAAGTTTCAGAATCGAGCAAGGTAACGTGATCCATCATGTTTGAAAGCATCAGAAGCAGAGTTACATTTTCCTCGTGTGTGCAAAAATGTGCTGCCGAGACTCTCAACAAACCGTCTCCCGTCGCAACGAAAACAACATGTGACGAGAGAGAAAGAGACACGCGAGAATAAGATACGAGGGAGAAACAAATGCGATACCCAAAAATCCTGGCGTGCGCGAGGCTCGCGCTGATCTCATGTGCCTCATCTCATGTGCTACGATTAATGCTAGAACAGCAGAAGGTGTAGGAAAACGAAACACAGGCTGTTGAAACTTGGTTGCTTTGACCGACATTTCATATGCGTTACCACAAACCATTCCTATATTAGAGGAAAGGTAGCATATCAAGACCAACAATTGAAAAGGCCGCAACTACATTTTGTAAACAAACCTTGAAAGGCCATTTTCTCGCGAACCGAAGTCCGCCAAGGCAAATCAACATAATGAACAGACAGGGGAATTTCTCCTCTACTAGATTGTGGTTTAGGATTGCGAATGTAGGTTTCGGTTCCCGAGAAAATGGCCTTACAAGGTTTATTTACAAAATGGAGTTGAGGTCATTTCAATTGTTACTCTTCATATGTTTGCAGTACTTTTATTCTTGAAGTCCTCTAATAGCCAAAGCCATTCATTTGCCGGTCAATTAGAATATTCTTTGTTAATTTTTTTCCGGTTCAACACTTAAATGCACTTGCATGACTAACATCTTTTGACACGTTATTTTCAAAATATGTAATGGATAAAAATTCTACAAAAAGTGTATTGTTTAGAGCGGGGATTTGACTGTTGCAAGACGTTCAAAAATATTCAACGTAATTTAACCAGGCATCGGCAACACAACTGGTTAGAAGGAATGTTACGTAATTTGAATAGATTATATCGGAATGCTACGGATGCAGCAATGTTATGAGAAGTCAATGGGTGAAAGAATTTTTTGTAGATTTTTTTTAACTCAGATGAGCATGTAGACCAGTGCAGTGATATATTTACCATTCCAATTATTAAATCTACCGACCTTTTGGATCGTTTTTTGGTTGGTTCTGAGTCAACTATTCATAGACGTTAAGGTCCATTGCTCTGTGGCTTTCGATGGCATCGTAATCGCTAAGAAGAAATAACCTCTTCGGTTCGATAATGGGCGACCTTGCCTTTGTATACCAACAGTGAGTATTGGGACCAATTCCACAAAGCGACCACCAAGCGCCACCATCTCGCTACAACAAACGGTTGACCAGAAAGTCGTACAGCCATCGCTACAACCTTCAACAGACCAACCAATCAAATCATCATGTTGCCACCAGAATCGGCGCAGCACCGGAATATGATTCACTAAAGTTGATCAATCCATTTGAAAAAAATATGATATTCAAAAACTTCAGCACATTCTTAAGTCATCCTTTTTTTTAGCAACTCTCCAATTCAGATCAGAAGAACATCAGCCAATGCTGGTATTTTAATACTTCTTTGCTGTCTAGGGGGCATATCTGAAAGAATATCTTGTTACTTATGCATCGTTTCCTGAACATCTACAAAATTTCCATAAGTTTTAGAAAATTTACTCAAATTTCAAAAATTCTTGAAATAAAAAGAATCGTCCAAAATCTTCATCATCAGGAAGTTCATTGAGCTTTTTAAGATTTCTGACAAACCGCTATGAAGTTCCCTAAACTGAAACGAAGATCTCTGAAGTCGTCTATCTCTAAGAAATTCCCTGAACTTTTTCAAAATGCCCTGTACTTCTATGAAGTCTACGAAATTTCCTGAATTTGTGCGGAATTATCCGAACTATTTCGAGGCCACGAGATTTCATCAAAGTGCTCTGAAGTTATAAAAAAGGTCACTGAATAATAAAGAGGTTCCCTGACATCAAACAATTAACTTCTACGGAGATTCCTCAGCTTGTATAAAGTTGCCACTTCTACGAAGTTTTATGCACTTTGAACTATTTGAACTTCAAATAATTTCACAAAAATTTGGCTCATGATTTATCTGCATTTGTCTTAATGCATAAAACAAAATATAAAAATAATACCAAAGAAACATTCAAAATTAGGACAGTGTTCCAGTGAAAACAGTTAAGCAAAAGCCCGAGTAGCACACTTTCATCGCAATAAGCTACAGCAACTTGTTTACGACTGAAATAAGACGTATATAATTTCTACAATTGATTTGTGACAAGCGTGCTACTAGGGAGAGTTACCGAAGTAGTTCGATGAAACTCTACGAAGTTCACTGAAGTTCGGTTAGCTTCTACAAAGTAAGGTGAGCTTAAAAAAATCTACAATTACAATATCTTTAAAAAGTTCCCTGAAGATCCGCGAATTTTCTTGCATAACTACAACATTCCTTGCAACTAGGATAGCAGTTCGTACTGTGGGGTAGTGACTGTAGGTGCATTGTAAGACTGCACCAGTAAATAAACATAGGAAGTGGTAGAGGTGCTGCATGAAGAGGTGGTGATAATGGACGTGTCCGCAGGAGACCGATAAAGCATGCAAAAACGAAGCCCTGCATCCTCGGCAGAAATGGTTTGCGGATCTGTCGAGATTCATTAAACTATGTCTACGCAAAATTACAATTAATTTTACCCAAAGGATCAAAAGTTAGAGCAATTTTATTGTGTGTGTGTGTGTGGATTTTAAACGGTATACCCTTTAATAGATGGGACGTACACAGCATGCTTTTTATTCTAAATATATTTGAACAGTTCTCAAATGTAAGTACATTTTTGAATTAACTAGTGATGTTATCGGCTACAGCTTGAAAGGCTAAAAATACTGCTGGATGCAGTAACTCGAATCAATTTCAATAACGAAGATATTGTTTTAAAGGGCCCTCCGAACTATTGGTTCGCTGCCAGCTGCAAAGTATCTTTTCATAATATAATGGTTTCACTTTGATCCACCAAGCTCAATCGGGTCCAAATCAGGCTGATCAATCTCCCAAATATTGTGCAAATTTGATGGCGAACTCATTCTGCACTGGCTCTTTGAAGTTTATATGGGAATTACTATAAGAAAAGTTGTCCATCGAAGCCCCCCCCCCCTTACGTGAAATTTTCCCAACTACAACTTTGTTGAAAACCAGTTTTCAATTGAATGTCAAGAAAATTAGTTATTAATTAATTTCCAAGTTGATAACTTTCTGGTAGGATTGATCGGCTGCTTTCAGGGCAATACTGCATCTTGTCCAGGGCTTCTGTCTGTCCTTTTTTTCATGAGCAGTCAACATAACCATTCATTCAATTTCAAGCTGTCCTTTGTGTGCGGTACTTCGTATACCATCCGTTGCTCCACGCTACTTTTCGCATTCATAATTCCAAATGCACAGCGTAACGAATAGGTAGAAAAATCAGTATTTGCTCCCTCTCGTAAAAAATCCTCTCTCGTTTAGTCACTCTGTTTCGTTTTGATTTTTTTCCACATTTTCATTTCGGTCAAGTTCCCTTTGTCGTTTGCTGTAGTGAATGACTGCAAAAAAAAAATCAGTTCTACGGCAGTCACCTCTACCGCAGGTAGTGTTTGCAAACTTTTTTTTTACCCTTCTTACAAAGAAGGGTATAGATATCACTTGAAAAACCGACTATCGATCCGAGGCCCGGAGGGCCGAGTGTCATATACCATTCGACTCAGCTCGACGAGATCGGAACATGTCTGTGTGTGTGTGTGTGTGTACGTGTGTATGTGTGTATGTGTGTGTGTATGTAACGAAATGAGTGCGCTCACGTTTCTCAGCAACCGCTCAACCGATTTGGACAAACTCGGCGCCAAATGATAGGTCTTGGGGTCCCAAGTTTTGGAATCGGTGAACTGGTTCCGGAGATATGGCCGGAATAAGATCCGGTGAATATGGGTATTCACGGTGGATTTAACGGAAAACGTATCAAACCCATCATATACCATTCGACTCAGCTCGACGAGATCGGAACATGTCTGTGTGTGTGTGTGTGTGTGTGTGTGTGTGTGTGTGTGTGTGTGTGTGTGTGTGTGTGTGTGTGTGTGTGTGTGTGTGAGTGTGTGTGTGTGAGTGTGTGTGTGTGTGTGTGTGTGTGCGCGCGTGTGTGTGTGTGTGTGTGTGTGTGTGTGTGTGTGTGTGTGTGTGTGTGTGTGTGTGTGTACGTGTGTATGTGCATATGTGTGTATGTGTGTGTGTATGTAACGAAATGAATGCGCTCACGTTTCTCAGCAATCGCTCAACCGATTTGGACAAACTCGGCGCCAAATGATAGGTCTTGGGGTCCCATTGAACGGTTCTGGAATCGGTGGACCGGTTCCGGAGATATGGCCGGAATAAGATTCGGTGAATATGGGCCTTCACGCTGGATTTAACGGAAAACGTATTAAAACCATCATGCGACACATCAAATTACTACAGAATTCAAAAATAAGATCAATGCAAGTCGTGTTAAGTGTTCCAGACCACATTGGACACACTTGGACATGTTCCGGGTACCCCGGGGAAGTTGCTTGAATATGAATTGATAAGGTGATTGGTAGCCTCACCAAATAGACTACACCCGGATATATTCCGGGTACCCCCAGGCAGTGGCGTAGCGTCACTGGATGACACGGGGGTGGGGGGCTTGGTCACTGATAATGACAATAAAATAAATAAACTTGAATAAGTAAGAAGGGTCTGTTCACACCATAGGTGGATAAATTCGGGTTTTTTTTTCCTTTGGTTTGTTTTTTCCGTCGATCTTGTTTTCCGTGCTGAGCACCAATGCTACCGACGTGCCAGGAAGGCAGCTCCCACACCTGGACCCTACACCTATCGACCCATCAACTCATGAACCGGGGACCAACGGCTTTACTTCCCATCCGAAGGAAGGCGTGATCAGAGATGTTATGCCTCAGAACATC